CAAAATTAAAAATCATCACAACTATAGCATTCCGTCATGGGTGCAGCGTTTATCTTATGGAGGGCTTATTAAACCTACTGATGAATGGCTAGCAAAAATTATAGAATGGAATAAATATTTCGAAATATATCACGATGAATCGTATAAAAAAGGCCCCGGAGTTGTACAGAATTAGTCAGTGGAAACAGTTTTACCTTTTACTTTAATAAAAGATTTTTGTAAATTAAGAACTATAATAAGAATTAATTATAGAAATCTTAAACAAGAAAACTATAAAATATTGAAAAGAATGCCTTCTGAAAATGGTGATTGTCGAAAAAAAATTAAAAAGTTAAGTAAGATAATCACATAATAAAAAATATAGCTCATTAATTTGTTAAATAAATATTAGACAAAAGACTTGTAAATTTATTGACGTACAGTACACTTATTAAATCCGAAAATTCTACAGTAGTTTACATTTAGTAGTAATTTAATAATTAATTAAGAAATGATTTAATATTTTATCGTATTTTGTTATTTGAAAGATCTGTCATGTTGAAGTAGAGGGCTTGCTGTGACATCACATAGATCCAAGGTCACGCTAACAAATGTACGGGATCTGGCTATCCTTGTAGTTTAAAGTCCTTGGTCCACAGCCCTCATATTTGTTTAAGGGGAATGTTAGATATACTAATTTGTAGAATAGCTAAAATAATAATGTACTCATATATCTGTTATCTATATCATTATTTAAGTTAGTAAATTAAGTCGGTACATTGCAGTGTGAGCAATATGTTTGTTCTTTATACTTTCTTCTTTTATCTTTATTTTTGTGTTATTTATGTTTATGAAGCTATTTTTTTTTTTATTTTAGGTTCCGATTATTTTAACAAAAAGTTTGTTTCTTGTAAATATCTTATCTGATGTTTCGTTTTCAAATAATCACAAATCAACGGAGACATTTTAAAATTAAACATTCAATTTTACAATAAATTAACTATCAAAAATGTTGAACATAAAATTACTATCAAAATGTATCTGTAATTAACGTTTAATTACACAAATACACTTACAATGTTTTTACTGAAATACTGATATTTTATCAACAGTAGACTGATAAAATTATATTGTCTGGCCCAAGTTTTAACTTATATCTATACTGTGGAATTTGAAAATCATAAACAAAAATTATCGTACTGCAATTAATATTTATGTTAAAATTTATTTTGATGAAGAAAAAGTTTTGTTAATTTTTAATTAACGAACAATTACAGTTGACCCTCCCTATAACACTGTTGATAATTCCGTATTATATGAATTCCATGTTGTACATGCCACTTAGATTTTACAAATACGTGTACCGGGCTGTGAACGGCTCACGTATTTGTAAAATATAAGTGACTTGTACAACATGGAATTCGTATAATACGAAATTATCAACAGTGTTATAGGGGTCTACTGTATTTATTGTTCGTTAGGCTGAAATTTTTTTTTTATCATATTTCAATTTATTTAATTTAAAATATATATTCCCCACTTCAAATTAGTACTGTAATGTCTTTCCCCTATACACTATACTTTTCTATTAACAATAGAGTCGTGACGGTCGTCTATTAACTACTTTCAACGAAAATTTTTGAATTGAAATAACATGACTTCGGATGAAAACCAGAAGTTCTTTTATAGTTAATCGGGGCCTTCTGTCCTTACGGTTTCCATTTCCTGTCTCGAATTTCATGTATATAACTTATTTCAGGAGGTTAAGGAAAGATAGATGGACAGACGGACGACAGTGGGAATTTATAGGTTTACATTTTTTTGCAAATTGCAGCCCAATAATGAATATATTAATTGACAGAATGTTGACAGAATTTGATTTCTCTGTGTCTTTTAGGGCAGCGGTACCCAACCTTTTTATCGTCGCGGACCGGTCAACGTTTGATATTTTACCGCGGCCCACTGAGGGGGGAAGTTGATTGTTTATATTTTAGATTGATTTAATTTAATAATTTTAATTTAATTGTATTTAAACATGCCTTCAAAATAAAATATAGTTACACCAAAAAATGAATATAATGTGATTTAACATTTTAACTCACTAGAACGTTAAATCAATGAAAACCCTGAGCTTGTTTCTTTGCAACAAGATGGTTCCATCTGGAGGTAATAGGTGATAATAACACCCGAAGTGTGTTTCTTATGTCCAGTTTATTCCGTTGTTCCGTCGTCCATTAAAAGTCGCACAAAACCAAGAGAAATATACCATAGTAAATAAAATGAAACTACTGTACCGGTAATTTAATGTTCCTTGGGCGGCCCAGTATCATTTGAGCCACGGACCGGTACCCGACACCAGCCCGGGAGTTGGGGACCACTGTTTTAGGGTACTTTGTATAAAATAAATGCTATCTAAGAGGCTGTTCATAAATGACGTCCACACTGAAAGAGAGGGAGTGGGGTTAAGACAAGTCAGACAAGGGGAAGAGAGGGATTGAGCTTCGTTGGACGTCTGTTTATTTGATTAAATTTTATACAGTTTATGCATTTTATTATATTTACTTCATAATTTATTGTATGTTTCGTTTCAACTTTTGATATCTATCATTCATAAAGTGATAAAGGTTAAGTGGGATCGAGTTTTGTTGGAGACGTCTAAAGAGAGGAGGAGTTGCGGAAACTTGGACAAACTATAACAAGAGATCTATGAATTTCAAGAAAATGTGGACGTAATTTATAGCCAGCCTCTAATTACTTGAATTTTTGTTAATATGTACAGTACAAATGCTTACAAATAGCCTAACAATTAACTGAAGAGAATGGGCAACTTTATTAACATTATATTTTTATGTTTTTTAACGTAAAAACTATTTTTGTTTTAATCACGTTTTCAATATTTGGATGAATTAGCCGGATAGTCGAGAGAATAGAGTGGCAGCCTACCACTCTGGGTACCCGGAATTTCTCTGGGGGGTGGTGGTCCATTCCATTCTCGGATATGTCAAACCCGGCCGAACCACAGTGAAGTAGATAAATAGTCCGAGTGTTCACGGGGCAGAAAAAATAAAGAAATAAAATAAAAATTAAAAAAAACCAAAAATACTGTAGTATCGAAAAATCAGAATTAACGGCAAAAATTTTAGATTGTAATCACTTCAGAGGGCGCTGGCAGCAGTCATGCGCAGTTTATGATTAAATGCAATAACATTGAGTCATTTCGAAGTTTTGCTGAAAAATTAGGTGATAGATTATAAAATTAAATCGCTTTTTGTTTCGCCAATATGCCATTTTTCAGTAGTTCTTCACCTTTTGATCAAGATGTGGGTAAGTAAATTATTATTAATACATAAAAATATACGAAATACTTACATGCAGTTAACCCTAAGATTGTCAATAAAAAGAATATTTTTGATGAAGGAAAAAGAAATAATTTGCAGACGTAAGCTACAAACAAATAACTCTTGTTTACTTTTAACACATAAGAATGCTTCTGTCTTCTATCGACAAATCATTTATTTCTGTTTTTTCTTTATTTACAGGCGACGTACACAAGTAAACATACAATTCTCTTGCAGTGAAAATGATTAATTAATGCATTTCATTTCTTGAAATGTGAATATCTATTTTTAGATTTTTCATTGTTAATGTTTGATTTCAAATCTTATCACGTTTCTAGAAAAAATGTTCAATAATCTTAATTATTACTTGTAATACACTAATAAAAGTCAGATTATTACATTTACATTAAAAAATTAACTTAATTTATACCAAGAATATTGATTGAAAAAAAGTAAATCGTTATTTAATATTGTTGATTGTGAAATCTTTTATCTGTTTTTTTTTTTTTTTTTTAAGAATGCATCAGTCATTACGATTTTTTTTAACTCTGATTATATTGGTTGTAATTAGTCATTGCAAAAATTATACAAAGAACTCTCTCTTAATTGTTTTTAAAATAATATAACAAGAAATGTTTGTAATTCTTTCAGATATAACATATTGATCATTCTTAATAATTAAAATAGTATTCTTAGTGTAATAAACTAGTATTCTGTAGCAAAATTACTGATTATTAATATTTCTTTTAATTATGAACAGGCCTTGTTTAGTTAATTATATGTGCGATGCCACTTATCTGTGTCTAAAGAGCTCCCAAATAACAATTTGTAATTAAAATTCACAAATACAAATATCAGTGGCATGCTGTGACATTTGATGATAGGGAAGCTGTGTAAGAAGCCGATTTCCAGGGGAAATCAGTTACTTGCGTGTCAGTGATGGTCTAGGGTCCATTTGTATGTGCGTGGTGGTGGAGGAGACAAAGACAACAAGTATCTGACAAAAACCATTTATTTTAACATAAAATAAACATTCACTATGTACAAAATAGTTTGTTTTAGGACATTCAGCTGTTCGGACATCCTGAGTGTCAATGTGGTTCTTTGATTGTCAATTGATGATCAAAACCCGGGACAGTGGCGTTGACAAGCCTGTAAGGCACGGGGAGACTTTGTCTGTTGGCGTCGGGGACATGGTCTAAGTCCGAAGTGGCACGGGTTACAGGTTGGCACAATAGACGAGAAACTGCTTTTTTTTTGCGCGTTGACACATAGTGTTTTGATTTTTCAGAATGTTAACCAAGTGTGAGGTGTCCTTGATTGTCGGGGATTATATCAATCTCCGTTCTTTCTTTCATCCATTTTGATTGGTCGTTCTCCCTCAATCCCGCTTTCTGAGTGGCTGGTCCCTCGTAACTAAGAATTATGAGACTCCTACCTGGAGCACGAGAAAGGTCAAAATCGAAGATGAATTCAATCTTCCACCAATCATAAGACGACTTCCTTCTGTGATTTATAATTTCTGTGTCGCAGTTTGATATAAACAATGAGTGTCTGATTACAAATGACTTTTTTCTGTTTTTTTAAACTAATAGATTTTTCTCTAAATTAACCGTTTTTTTTTTTGTCTTTCGTGACGGTTCGGACCTGTCCGGAACCTCACATTTCCATAAAAAATTTTAAACAAATACTGGAAATGACAAAAATAAACAATTTGTATTTTAGTTCTAAAATACAAATCTCATAATACAAATTGATATGATACAAACAATGATAAAAAAACTTGTTTAATTTTTTTATATAAACTAACTCTATTCGGCAATTTTTTTCTGCAAAGTTGTTAATTACAGTACTTTATCATAAAAGTCGCTCCATCAACATATTTTGAAAGCTCTTTTTCTATTGAAAGCAACACTAGCGACAACAATTTTTCTTTCAACCGAGTGTTCCTGTTGTTGAAAAACTGCACTCAACAGACACACTGGTAGATGGTACTGTAAAAATTAATGATATTAAATCATATAATTCTTTTAGTACATCTTTGTTCAGATTGTCATTAATTATAATACTTTTTGTGTCTAAGAGTTACTTGTCAATATAGTCTGGACATGAATATAAATATTGTGATTTACTATGTAATTTAAATAAATCAAAAATTTCCCATAAAATTTATTTAATTTAAAGAATTAAAACTCACTTGGAAAAATTGTTTTTCATAATATTTAAAATTATTAACATTTAAAAGTGATGAAAATTCTAAAGATTTTGTCTGAAAATCTCAATATAATCATAATTAAAAGAAAATTCTAATTAAATATAACTTTGCAAAGAAACGTAAAAATAACATTGAATATTCTTTACTTTTTAAATTTTAAAACAATTTACTTAGTCAAATAGCTCCCTATCAGTGGCTAAGGGATAGAATCATTGGAAGCGTTATGGTGTGTAGCATCCACCAACTAAACTGCCAGAAGTTGGTACTCTGTAAAGCACATGTGCTAATGCCTGTAAATTGGCTGCTTTACATCATTCAAATATTTTTGCCCTGAAAGCTGTCCCATATTCGACAATACAGTGCTTCCATTGAGAATATGCATACACGAATTGAGCTTAGAATATACAATAGCAATCTTATCGTTGTTTTTTACAGATATTTTATTATTATTATACTGCATTATGTATTTTATTACAGATTTCATATAGAAATCTCTAATAAAATACATAATGTGGTTATAATAAAATATTAATTTTAAACCTAATTCAAAGTATGTTCAAATACGAAAATAATTGTGCAATATGTATTTATATTTTAGAAAGTACAAGGGAAATGGCGCTTCCACAGCTTCCAATGATGGCATGCCACTGACAAATATCTGTTCAAATAGAATGCATACCTATGATCTAGTAAACTAGAAACATTCCTTAACACATTTGTTTGTTGGATGATTTAAACTATTCATATACAGTAGATCCCCCTATAAGACGGTAGATACGTTCCGTTCTTTATGAATCAATTTTGTAGGAATCATAGTTTACGGACTACGGCTGTTTGAAAGGTTTTCTTTCATAAAATTAATCGATTCTAGACTAATTCGACTCAACATTTCCAAAATACGTATATTTTTTTGAAAATAATCCGTATAAACTACGTTATAAACAAAAAATTGTAGGATTACTTACCGAGTGTGTACCCTTTGACTACGCTCGTTGCTAAAGCTTGGTTTCGTCGCGGAACAGCGCATCAAATTGCGGCCGCGATTTCTGATATTATTTTTCTGCGAAAACTTCGTTGACCTTTGGAGACATCATTAATATAAATAATTTTTATGGCCGTTAAATAAGAAATGTTTCTTTCACAAGAAATGTATAAAATTACAGTACTAAACAGACGATAGGTCGCCTAACTCGCCGTAGCGTGACGCTAGACGGCGAAAAATATATATTTAATTATAATAAAGTTACAATAAATTAAGTTAATATATAATTATATATACAGTACCTAATTTATATATAATTAATATATAATTATATGTACAGTACCTAATTTATATATAATTTATATAATACTGTCCAGACGATAGAAATCTCTCCGTAGCGTGGCGCTACGGACGGCGGGTAAGTAGTTCGGCTGCCCGATGACGTTTTACGTATTATAGGAGTTATTTTTACCGTTGTTTACGGATAATGCCACAATTTTTATAGGAATCATAACTATAGGAAACGCTTTTATAGGGGGATCTACTGTATATTATTTTCATTAAAATTGACAACTATACAAAACTTGAAAATTATAAGTAGAAAAAATTGTTGTAATGAAATATGATAAATGATATGAAATCCATATAATTTTAATTATAAAAATATCATATATATGGAATTGTATTATAAAAAAAAATATTTCAGTGAAATGGAATAAAAAATTTTAATTATATTGAAATTTCTTTGCATTCATATAAACATTTAACAATAATATAACTTAATCAATAACCAGATCCAATTTATTAATATTCAAATATTGACTGCTAGATTTTCAGATTATAACTAAAATAATGATTTATTAATCAAACTAATATAATTTGGCCTAAAGAGTAAACAGGTAAGACTTCATCTTTTGTTTGGTTCAAAATTAAATAATTTAAATTTTGGAAGAGAAGATTGACTTGGAAATACTCAAATCTACAACTGCTTATTCTCCATATCGCTGTCAAGAGAGGAGGTAAGGTGGGAAGTTTTTTCCCAAAGTCTGGAGAAAATTTAGGGGTCTATAGTGGTTCCTATACCTATAAATTAATGTTAATTTTTACTAACAAAAAATAAACCTTTAAGACTGTTTTTGTATTAATAAAGAAACATTTCATGTATTTCATATGCTCAAAAAAAATCCTCTACCATTGGACTCCATACAAGCTCTCTGTGGCCCCTGTCTTCAGATATGTTTATCTGTTACAGATGCTAGATCTCTTTTAAGATAAAATAAGTCAGCTGAGAGTTAGAGCTGTGGATATAAGACACCTTCACTTAGTGCTGCAATTGATTTGTATGATTGTATGATCTAAATTAATATGACTACAATTGGATCAATTGGATATGACATAAAATGAATCTGTATGACAAACTAAAGTTATTGGTTTGAATCCTGCTTTGGGTCAATCTTTTCTTCCAGATTTTTCTAAGTTATTTAATTTAATTCAAAATGTTATGCTGCAATCTTCTGCTGTAATTAATTATTAATTACAGCAGAAGATTGCAGCATAACTATCTACCTACAAGATTAAACTATTTAGTTTTATTAATCAATCATTAACTTAGTTATAACACAAAAACTCTGGTAGTTAATATTTGAATATTAATTAAATTAACAATATTTGAAGAATTTGCATTATTATGCATAAATTTGATTATTTCAGTTTTTAAATAAAACTAAAAATCTACTTTATTGGAGAATGATTGTTAATTTAAATTTGCACACTCCAATAAACCTTTCAA